GAAGGGAACTTCTTTTGTGGCAGATTGTATTTGTTGATCTTGGGGCCGATTGACCAATGATTCACCAATTCAACAGTATTTTTGGTGTCTTTAATTCCATAATAAACAAAATCCAGATGTTCTAATTAATATTTCTTATCTTTGAGTGATGGCAGTGTGATTGTAGAAGTGCACCTACATAAACACTTCATCCGTTTTGCATGTTTGAATTGTATAATGTTTTCCCCTCAGAAGCCCAGCAAAACAGAGAGCGAGTGATCCAGACTGTGGACAGTGCGGTGCAGGGCGGCGAGGGACGGAGCGTGGCTCTAGGTTTACATCAACTTCCTGTTCGTCCTATTACCCAGAATGGCAAACACATCGCTGCTGCTGTTGCCGCAGCAACCAGCCTTGCTAATTCATCTGGTAAGACTTGCAGCAATCACTGGCAAACACACTGTCCAGTCATGATGAAAAATATTGTTTTTGCTTGTAAAGATGTGAATAAGGTTACTTAAGAGTACATACCGTGCAGCAGATTAAAGCGTTTACTTGAGGTTTGGCAGGTTATTAGGTACATCTGGCTGAAACTGATGGAGTCTAATACAGCAATCCTGCAATAAGTCCTCCCTTCATGGAGGTGATAATGTTCAGTTTTTATTTTAGCTGTTAGAGGGGTGTTGATTTATATTTGGAGGTGTTTAACTGTTCTGCATGAGAGAGAGAGAGAGAGAGAGAGAGAGGTGTTTGTCATTTAGATGATGCTCATTAGCCTCCAAACGGCATCGACCCAGATAATCACAAATTGAATCTCCAGCTCTCTAATAACAGATTATCATCATCATGCAGGTACAGTAGAATTTTTTTGCAGTTCTGTTTAGACTGTATTAGTTTCAGCTACCTACTGATCTGTAGGTATTTACTCCAGCTAACTTTATTTCCCTGCCTTTCCCCTATCAGTCCTGAACAGTCCTCTCCAGATCTTGGCTGCCCAGGCCTCCAGCTCCCCTCCAGTGCTCGTGAGCAGACAGTCCGGTGCAGAAAGTTCAGTTGAGCAGCCAGACGAGCCCCAGGCCAAGCGGTCAAAGATGGAGGACGAGGGTGGGATTGAATCTGCTCCGCATCAAGTCACATCTGCCCAGCAGCCTGTCATTGTTGCCATGACATCACAAACCCACGACCCTAGGAAGTAAAACCCAGGCCCTCTTACCAGGTACCCACTGGACAGCCTCCTTATCACTTCGCCTTTTGTAATCATTTGCTATGACTGCAGCTGGCACGGCCAAAACATTTACAGACGGCCTCTCTGAACCGAAGGGATTTAAATTGTAAGGAACATATTTTAGTCAAAATGTGAGTACAGTCTGAATTTAAAAGCAAGTAAATCTTTCAAAACTTTTTCAGCTCTACAGTCTGTTTTGATACATTTTTCAGTGATGACAAGACAGGAGGCGAAGCTTATGAGAGTATTATGCATATTAAGTCATTTCAGCACTACATCGACTAAATGAATGAAAACAATGTCACATGCAAACGTTCCTCTTGATGAGATGTCAGTTTTCTATGACTCGCAGGTCGACGAACTCGCATCTCCTGTACTTCTGCTTTGAGTCAGTGCCTGATTTAAAACCAGAAAAAGTGTGTTCAGAGATGTGAATGGCTTGCATTTACAAAACAAGCTGATGAGCAGAGTTGAATTACTGTGTAGTTAAATGCAGGTTTTAACTGCAGACCACATTACATGGGGCCTGCAAAACTTAAAAATCTTGTACCCCTCAAGAGGCATCGTCAGAGAATAAAGTGAGACAGAGGAAGTCCGACTAGAATGTAAAGCACAGAGGAAGAAAAGGGGTATTGCTTTCGAAGAAGAGAGAGGAGGAAATCCAGAATTAAACAAACCAGGGTTTCTGCAGTTCCTTGCTTCACTTCAGCTCTTCAGATTCTAGATGATCTGGGTGATTGGACAGTGAAGGTGGAGCACAGAAGGGCAAAAAAGCAACTATTTGGAGTTGATTGAAGTGGAGTTAACCTATTGTAGACAATTTGTTTTTTTCCTGTTTCAGTAGTGGTAAAAAAAAAAAAAATTGATCCTGTGTATACACTTTTGTCTTAGTGCAGAAAAGCATTATTGTAATAAGCCTTAAATATTTCTACTTTTTTGTCATTTTATTTTAACCTTTAGACAGCTTCACCTTTTTGGTTTAACACAGTACTTTAACAGTTCAGTTTAACAGTGATCTGGAACACTACAATGGTGATAATTATTTTGCTTTGGTAAACCTATATCAGGGGAAGGGCGGGACCAACACATGACCACAATTTTCAACTGCTTTTGTTTGCTACTTTCTGTAGGGTACTTCTGACATCTTGCCTGTTCTTGGCTCCCCATTTCTCTTAAATTAATTTTTTTCTTCCTCCCAGTAAAAAAAAATCCCTCATGTCAGCGAGTGTGGTATTGTTTCTACAGAGGCATCAAACTGTTGGCAAGTCCTGCCTTAGATTTTCTTCAGCACTTCCTCCCCTGTCTCATTCTCACTCTGCCTTTAGCTTTTCTGAATGTCCTCACATGGGCCTCGTTTTTTGCTGGCAATCAGGCCAATTTGCGTAAGATTTCAATGACTGTTGCACATATATATATAAAAAAAAAGGTGATGCATAATGATTGTATGCTGCTCTATTTGCTAAACGACAAAGCTATTTGGAAGGTATTTTTTCTCATTTTAGAAAAAAATATTTTGCTATGTGTAAAAACAGCTGTCAAACATTCTGGAAATAGAGAAGTATATGTATTTTTAAATGTTCCCATTTTTTGTGATTTATTAATGTGTAGCACAAATTAAAATTCACTGACTTAAATACTCCGTTGTCTTCTCTTAGGGGACCTGTTGTCAGCCGTGTTGGGTCAGACTCCAGTCTTGGTCACACTAGGCACTTTTGGACCAAACAGTTAGATTTGGTTCTAGAACTACTCCAAGTGTGGAGCTCCCCCAAGAACTACATACTGTACCTTGGCAGGCTTTTTTCTGTTTGCATTTGCACCGCCCATAGGAACGCTGAAGGGGTGTAACTAAGCTGGCCGGCCGACTGTTAGTGATTAGCCAACACGCTCGCAATGGTTAACACATTGGGACGTTACATTACTGGTATTTCTTTATATGTTGCTAATGTTAATTATATAAAGAGCCACTAACCCTCTGCAGAGGTTTCCATTGGTGGACTGCACCATGACTGGTGGTGGCCATTGATCGCTATTGTTTACACAGCTAACATGGTTTTATAAGAAAAAAGGGGCGTTAGCGGTGCTGCAGCTGATGTATAGTTCCTATTGTGCTTAGAGAGTAACTACCATGAAGTGGAGAGATCCTACAAGGCGTTCTCACTTCCTGCAGTGCAGACACTCAAGGGAGGGGGTAGTTTGTCCAACAGCTCTAAAAACTATGGAAAAAGTTCCCGTAGTCCGAAAGTGCCTACTGTATTTACGTTTTTGGTGATATTTGATTTTTCTAAGCAGAAAAATGAAAGTATTCAACAGTTTTTATTATTTAGCACAATTATTTTTAACAGTATAAATGACCAAAAAGGAATAGACATGCTTGAGATTGTTATACAAACCTTGAAATGCACAAAATTAAAGTTTTACTGCAAAGTAGTGATCAGAATCAAAAGTTCAGAATAAAACAAAACTTATGGAAAAAAGAGCAATTTTTGCTGAGTAATTTGGAAATAACAGGTACAAAACAAAAAAAACAATCCTGAAATGTGACCTTACTGCTGAAATTATTACTGTTGATCAGTTAGTCTATTTATTCTGTAAAAACAAAATTGCTGCTGTTCCATTTTCTTCACTGTGCACATTTGTCACTTTTCTCATCATTTAAACTAGAAATGGCAATTTTGAATCTTAAACTGTTTTGATACATTTGAGACAACCACACCGCCTGCTGGCAAAAAGCTGAACTGCACTTCTAGCAGACAAAACATTGCTGCAGCGGTCACGTGATAGTTTCGAAACAGTTGTGAACCTTGCCACTAAAAACTGGATGGCTCAGGTGGCTTTGAAATGGGTCGATCCTGGGTGTCAGCATTGCCATTTCTAGTTTATATTGTGAATTGAAACTCTGGGTTCTGGTTGACAAGCTCAGGGCAACATCGGGCACATCCCAAATCTCTTTATAAAGCACCGTATTTTCCTTGTGTCTTGGTCCGACCCATGTAAGATGTGAGGAAAACATGGAGAGAGGACTGGAGGAAATGCATTAACGACATGAGATGTCCTGTCCTTTTATCCTTCATCTGAAGTGTCCAGTCACCAACTGATTTCTTTTAAAGGGGAATATCACTTCACAAAAAAATGACTGGTCTTGTGTATCCTCGGTCATGGTTCTTCCAGCAGCCTCCTCACTCCTCAGAGCCAATATGAGAGACTTAGAATGTCCTTGGTCAACTGGATAGACTTTCAGGTCGACTGTGGACATAGGAATGATCATATAAGAAACTTGAAATGTACCCCAAGTCTCTTATAAGATCATTCCTACATTCCAAGACTCTTGTATCTGCTCTGATGAGCGAGTATCTGCTCTGATGAGCGAGGAGGCTGCTAGAGGACTCATGACCAAGGACATACAAGACCATCCTGTGCGGATGTCTTATGAACTGACACACCCCTTTATTGGAAATCAATAGATGTTTGGGTATTTCAGATGAAGGAAAGAATGTCTCATGGCATTAATGTGCTTCCTCGAGTCCTCTCTCCTCATTTCCTTTGCATGTTTTCCTTGCATATTACACGGGTTGGACTAAGACAAGGAAAAAACACAAGTGAGGGAAACAACAGTGCATCTAAACTCAGCATGGCCTTTTTTTCTTGCAGTGACCTCTACTTTAAATTAAGGACTTTTTAAAAAGTGACCTATCAAGCCATTCTTCTAGCGGAACCTCTTTAGAGGGCCAGTCCAGTCAAATGACATCAACATGTTCTGTTTTCTAATCACACACATACAGTAGCCCAAGGTTTTTGAAGTTACCACTGAGATTTCTGCCTTCACCCTAATACAGTTTTTGTATATTGTTTTTACTCGGAATAATTCAGACCTCGGTGAATCCTCTTCTCCAATTAGTCCCTAGAAAAACCAGAGTTAAATCAGTAGATTATTCACTGTAACAGGAGACAAGTCTGCTGTTGAATGCTTTTAAATGTAATGTTTCAGTTGTCCTCCACAAATTCTGCTCATGTATTAAAGGCAGAAATCCCACTGACGGATCCCAAGAGTTGGCCGAATAACACTAAAAATAAGACAGAACATGTTTTATCATTTAAGTGTAGTGACCCTTTAAGAGTACAGCTAACAATGTATGTCAATGCTGGTAGCAAGTAACCTGTACATCTGATCAGACTTCAAATAAATTAACATTTATAAAAATTACACAACTCCTAACTACATTTCTCTCATTCCAGGAGATACTGCTGCTTATTTTCCCATCAGGTTTACTGACCAATATGTTTCAGAAAAAAAGAGTAGTTTCCAAAATGCAGTTTCACTTTGTGACTAAGTGTTAAATATGTACAAACTATTTACACCTCTTAACCAGATACATACAGCACATATTCACAAGAAAAGTCTAGATTTATATACACCAGGGTTGTGCATCAGAAACTCTGTTTTAACTTGTAAGATGCATTTCAGTCCCTTTGTCTGACAGCTGAGGAGCTAGTTCACCATGCTACCCAAAGTCTGAATACTATAACAAATTCTTCTAAAATACTGATGTAAAAGTCCAATGTGCACACATGCTCCAAGGGCTGAATGAAGAGAATTGAAAACCCTGCATCCTACTGTGCTTTTAAACCACATCAGACTGCATACTGCCTGGTTAGACCATGCCCCCCTCACACACTGATTAATTAGGCTACTTTCCTCACACCATATCCCTTTGAAGTCATGGTGGGTTACAGATTCTCTCTGTCACACAGACCCCGTAGGAGTCAGTGTGAGGGGAGCAGGTCTGCCAGCTGGGGAGTGAAGTCATGGAGCATTACCTCCAGTTTGATTGCTTGGCTTTGTGCTGCGCTGACTCTGCGTCACATTGATATTTCATGCAGCGTGTGTGTGTGTGTACACACATTAGCACACCCATCTGTATCTTTCTGTCCCACCTCTCATGTTCTGCGTAGCGTGTTGTGCGTGTCTAAGCTGGTCAGCAGGATGAGGCACTGATCTTCTCTGAAACCTCTGGGTCGGACTTGGCTACCAGGAAACGTAGTCGACCTCCTCCCAGACGAATCAGATCCACCGCGCTGTGTGGAGCATACATGAGGAAGCAGAAGGAGAAAGGGAGAGTCCAGTTACATGAAGCTCAGCAGAGACAGAGTAAGGATGAAGCAGCATCACTGTCTGGGCTCAAACCAATCAAAGTAATCAATTGGCTTAAAGGATAGGTTTGGGATTTTTCCAAGTTGTTCTCAATACAATATCGATGTGCTCATATGTACGTGAGAAGAGGTCTCTACTCTCCACACGGACCCTAAAGGTTTCCACACAAAATTTGACTACAGTAAGAAATGAGGGACAAAATACACCACCTTATTGTGGTGGAGGGGTTTGAGTACCCGAGTGATCCTAGGAGCTATGTTGTCGGGGGCTATATGTCCCTGGTAAGGTCTCCCAAGGCAAACAGGTCCTGGGTGACGGGTCAGACTAAGAGTGGTTCAAAAGCCCTTTATGAATAGATTAAA